ATTTGACATAGTTGCACCCTTGGCAAGCGGGACGGCTATCGAAGTTTTTATTTTTAATCGTTATTAAGAAGACGCTGATGCCCATCTCCTGATTAGTTTCCCTCAGTCGTCTCCGACACCCACGGGATGATATAAGGTAGTGGATATTGTTACACTGCCACTACACAGTAAGAAACCACTTTAATAAAAATGTTAAAAGTTAAAGTTACAGCCTATATACGTCCCACTGCTGGGCACAGGCCTCCCCTCATTTCTGGGAAGGTCCGCCGCGCTGCCCCAATGCGTGTTGGCGAACTTCACACGTCTTCGAAATATTTTTTTTCTTATTCCTCAGACATGCAGGTTTCCTCATGATGTTTTCCTTCACCGCTGAGCACGTGGTAAATCAGCACTTAAAATTGCTATTAACAATTTCATAGGTGCCGGCGGGGATCGAACCTGGGTTACTCGCGTTCTGCTATATTTACAGCGAGTGTTTACCATCTGAGCTACATCGGCTCAATCACTTTATAAATTTAACAAATATAGAAGCTGACCAATACGCAACGGTCGCACTACCACTGACATTGCTCAATTAGGTAACAAATTAAGCGTGCGGGACATCTGACTGTCAGGAGGCGATGCGACCACCGATCGGCATATTTTACAGTATTGAGTTTTTACTCGTATATTAAATATTTACCTTTTTAAATTATTAAACGGGAATAAATATAGTCTGCACCACTTACCCATAACAGGGTAGTCTAAAAAGTAAAGTTACAACCTATATACGTCCCACTGCTGGGCACAGGCCTCCTCTCATTTCTGAGAGGGTTTTAGGGCAGGGAAGTGTCTGCCGCGCTGCCCCAATGCGTGTTGGCGAACTTCGCATGTCTTCGAAATATTTTTTCTTATTCCTCAGAAATGCAGGTATCCTCACGATATTTTCCTTCACCGCCGAGCACGTGGTAAATCAGCACTTAAAATTGCAATTAACAATTTCATTGGTGCCGGCGGGGATCGAACCCGGGTTACTCGCGTTCTGTTATATTTACAGCGAGCGTTAACCATCTGAGCTACCACGGTTCTCGGCTACTCGGGTACTCTAAGCTAGTGTTTTATCAAGATTTTATCTATAGGCCTATTATTTTGTTCCACGGCTCGTAAAAACAATTTAACATTAACATTGGCTTTTCAAAATGCTGGGTCACTGGGTACCAACCATGGTGAGTTTATATCACTGTTTGCCTTGCACAACATTGACATCATGGCCGTGGAAGAGACTTGGCTGCGACGTGATGAGGACGGCCGTACGCTACGGTGCCTGGGTACCAGTTACGTCAAACGCCGCGCCCGTTGACTGTACATATTATGCGGGTCTTAGGGGGAGGTTTTTATTTGCAAAGAGGACTAAATGCATGTACGTGTGTTTTGCCTGTGGATTTTAAATCTGACACTACTGAACAAATGTTGCTGATACTTAACATCCGAAGGAAAAAACTGCCCATCGGCCTCCGTGGCAAGACCTGGAGCTTTTTCTGGATGCCGCTGCCAGCTCAATAGGTGCGTTGGGGGATAGTGACCACTGTATACTTATCGGTGACGTTAAAACTCAAAAGTTAAACGATTGTTTTTCGTTTTTGGGACTAAATCAGCTGGTTATTTCTCCTACTAATTTCACGAGAACATACGAAAACATTGATAGATATTGTTTGCTCTGACTTGAATTCAAAGCGTACCGTAAAATGGGATAATTAGTGACAAAACCAGGAAATATTTTCGATGGTGAATATTAGTTACCCATTAGTTAAAACTTCTACAGTTTTTTGTAAGATAATAGTACAACCTCTAAAGTTCTCATGGCAACACTGAATAAACATAATATTAGCTGCAAATTGTCAAGAACGTCATTCGAAAATAACCTCTCGTGACGCTCAAATATTACAATGTTAGAATCTTTGCTCTCTAAAATTTATTTTGTAGTCAGGAAAGACGAGTATGTGTTAACTACCTTATTTGAATTGCTCCATGTTAAAAGGGCATGAGTTACCATTTTTGAAGAAATGAGTTACTGGCGTATTCTAATAGAAAACACTCCGATACACCTTTTCGAGACGGTTTAGCATCAAAAGAAAACCAGTCCATTCAAGTACGAACAAAAAATTAGTCAGTCCACTGACTGTCGGCCTTTTTACAAGGAATCTTTATGGCAATACTAGAACTGTCATTGTGTCTAAAGGGAATCACTCCGTTTATTGTGCCTTTCAAGCAGCTGTGTTTCAAGCAATTGTTGAGGTTATACGGAAGTTTTTTTTTTTATAAAGAATATTAACAATGCTATAAACATTACTAATATTCCCCTTAACCACTCGTGGTAAGCTTAAATTGCTTGTGGTACGAGTGGTTCACACCAGTAGTCGAATGGCGGATTCGAACCCACGACCTTTTTTGAGTTCGCGGTTCACGCCCTGCCATTAGGCTACTGTTGTTTCAAATTCTTCGGATTATGTGAGTTATTTTTATAATAACGGATGGAGAGCCGAAATCAAGAAAACGGCAGCTAAATTTCGCTAATTACAAGAGAAATGTGATTAAACGAGCAAGAATCGAAGGCAACAGTTACGTCAATCACAAACGGGTTGTTCAAAAGGGGTGGGGGGCTACAGGATTGACAAACTTTGAAAGTATAAAACAAACCATAACAAAATTTGTGTATACTGATGGTGACGCTTTGGCTTCCAAACAAACATTATTTCATGTTATATACCTAAAATACATCTTTAAATTACCTACGCATACTTTACCTCTATTTATTTTAGATTAAAATGCCACCAAAAAAACGAGATCGTAGAAAACTTGGGGCAAGACTATACAGAAACTACACCGACGAAATGTTATAAACTAGCAGTCGATAAGGTCCAAAACAAAAAACAAATTATCGTATGATGCCGCGAAACTTACGGCATTTCTCGAAGAACAATAGAAAAAAAAAGTAAAAAAAAATATATGAATAAATCAGATATCCGCAAAAACTGACAGAACATGAAGAATAGAACTTTGTTAAAGTGAAAGAATATTTATTGAAAAATAATAAGGCTTTTATTTTTGACGGAAAATTACCTGAATAATCGCGGGCCAGGGCATTCACAGAACGACATCGTGATAAGCTAACTATCAGATCTTTGCAAAATATTAAAAGGGCACGAGCAAAAAAATATTTAACATAATTTCAAAATTACTTAGAAACCTTGAACATGTCATGAAAAACGTTCCTCAAACTCATTTGTTAAATTACGATGAGATCAACTTTAGCGACAACCCAGGCTCCCTTAAATGTATATTTCGTCGCGGGGTGAAATACCCGGAGGGAATCATGAACAGTATAAAGGGCTGTATTTCAGTCATGTTTGGCAGAACCGCAGACGGCAATGTATTGCTACCATATGTCGTTTATAAGTCCGAAGCCTTATAGAGTCAATGGGTCGAAAGAGGTCTAGATGAAGATCGTTATAATAGAACCAAAAGTTGGTGGTTCAATTCGAATACATTTTTTGATTGGTTCACAACCATAATTGTACCATGGGCACGAAAATTAATTTAATTGGCGATAACCTAAATAGCCACATCAATATTGTAGTAATAGAGTTGTGCGAAAAGTATGAAATTAAATTTGTACTTTTACCGCCAAATTCTACACAACTCATTTTAGTCTTTTTGTTTTTTGTCCCTTTGATGTCGCATTCTTTGGACCCTTAAAAAAAAGAGGCGCATAATATTGACAAATTACAAGGTTGAAAACCCACGTAAAGCTTCATTCAATAAATGTTACTTCCCGCCTCTTCTAAAAAAAGATAATGGATGATGTCAACATGGGTATAAGAAAAAATGTGGTCAGTGGATTTAAAGCCACAGGTATCTATCCATTTAACCCAAAATAAGACTTACAAAAAGTGCCGGAATATACTGATAATGAACCAGCATATTCAGTAGACTGTGTTACTCGAATATTTAAAGGATAGTAGAAAACCGAACGAAATGAAAAGGGGAAAGAACAATACATTAAGGTTGAATCAGGAATGTCTATTTCAAAATCAGACGTTGCCAAAAGAGAAGCAACTTTAAACCAGACCAAGGGCAGGGAAAAATGATTCAAAAATAACAGGCCTGGACCAGATTTTGTTACTGGTTTTTTAAAAAGGCATAAATACGCTATTTCTCACAGGATATCTCAAAACATCAAAGAAATCGACCTGCAGTTTCAGAAGAAATCATAAAATAATATTTTAAGGAATTAAAGTTATCACTAAATGATGTATCAATGTGTAACGTAATAAACTATGATGAGACTAATCTAGCTGATGATCCGGGACGGAAAAAAATTATAACCAAAAAGGCACTAAGTATCCGGAGCGGGTCATGAATCATTCAAGATCTGCCGTTTCAGTTATGTTCTCTTGTACTGCTGAAAGAGATTTATTGCCCCCCTGTGTAGTGTACAAATCACAGGATTTGTACGACACTTGGATTAGTGAGAGGCCAAAGGGGACGCGGTACAACCGATCGTAATCAGGATGGTTCGATGCACCAATATTTGAGGTTTGGGTAAAATCTATAATCATACCTTACTTTCAAGGGAAGTCTGGCAAAAATCTTAATTGGTGATAACTTGTCATTACATCTTTCTATTGACCTCATAAAATTATGCTATGAGGAAGATATTCATTTTATATTTTTGCGTCTCGACGTGGCTTTTTTCAGCCATGGAGAAATATAATATTTCAATTAAAGAAAACAGACGGTCGCAAACAAGCCACAATTCCTAAAGGGTGTTTTCCGACATTATTATCCAAATTAATAGGCATCCTCAAAGATAACGCCAAAGAGAATATTTTGGCCGGTTTTAGAAAAACTGGTATAAATCCATTTGACCCTACACAAGTTTTAAATAGACTACTGGATATGAAGATAATAAGCACCGCATTGAAGCTGTAAATGAATCTGTTCTAGATGTACTGAAAGAAATGCGGAATCACAACACTGTCGAACCTAAGAGAAAGAGAAAAATAGAAATAGAACCCGGAAAGAGTGCAAGTTACGTTGAAACTGAAGCTGAAAACAGAGAACCAAAGAACCTCACCTCTGCACCTCTAGTTGAAAGCGAACCAACTTTGACTAATAATTACCTAGACATAGAATCAATACCGGTTGTAATGTTTGGAGATGATATTGTAATTGACCATACAGAAACAGTAGAAAATGATAATAAAAACTGTTTTTATAATACTATTTCGAATAATGAAATAAAAGAAAGTGCCAAAGTTAAAATATTATCAGATATATCCATAACTGATTCTAAATTGGTAAATGACGCCATATCAGTTGGTGCATTGAAATTAATCCCGCCGAGCACCAAATTACCAATTTTATCAAAGGCTGCAACCTTTGAGTTTTTGAGGGCTTTCATCCATGTGAAGTAGTTTTATAGTCGTGGATTTCATAATGATTGTGAAATTTTGAAAAATATTGTTTTTGTTTGTTCTTAGATTGATCTCAAGTTAAACCTTGTTCTTTAATAATATATCAATAAGAAATTTCATTAAATGTTTGTCAATTATTTCACTTGATAATTGTTTTTTATATCCCGTCCCATTCCCCTAGTAAAATGGTGTTGGTACCTGTTTATATACTTACCTTTCATAACCAAATAAGTAGATACCTAAGGCATTGGTTGACAACCCTACCGTTTTTCTCTATTCCACCCTTTGTCGTATCCATTCACCCCGTATTTCATGTAAATAGAAAATTAGGATATTTTTGAGCTTTTCTCAAAGATACATGAAAATTTCACGTTTTATCAGTAATTTGATGTTAAATAGCGTAAGACTCCCGTAATAAAAACGACCCTAACCCCATTGCGATAGCCAAACCAAATGCAGCTAGCTTCCCCCTCCCGCACCTCACTAATTGTCGCTTCACACCGCTTGAGATAAGACGATCTATCAGGCGCTAACAAAACCCCGTCCCGGACATAAGGACCTATGTCCGCGAGTAAATTGGCAATTAAAAGACGCTTTGTATTGTTGGTTTTTACAAAAATGATCAACTGGGCAAATGATATCTGGCCCTTTGATTTGTGAAAAGCATTTCAGCATTCGCTACATGGGTTCAAAGTCCCACCGTTCGACGGGACTTCTTCCTGGTCAGCCTACAAAATCCAGTTCGAGGCTGTTATGAAGGCGAACGGCTGGAATAACAGTCAGGCAATGACTGCTCTCACACTAGGCCTGCGCGACCAGGCCTTAACAGTTCTGGAAGCTCTCGGGGAGGAAGTGACTTATGAGCAACTCCTTGAGGCATTGGAGGCGAGATATGGCGACGCTCACCTGGAACATGTCTTTCGTGCGCAGCTTGAAGATCGCGTGCAGCGCATCAACGAAAACCTGCAGCAGTGGTCTCTAGAGGTGGAGAAGCTGGTGCGGAAAGCATACCGGTCTGTACCTGCGCTCATTGAAGGGAACCTGGTGCAGACATTCATCGACGGCATCCGCGACCTGGAAGTCAGAGCTGCTGTGAGGCTCGGGCACCACGAGACGCTTAAGAACGCCTTGGCCCATGCACTGGAAGTGGAAGCCGTGCGGCAGGATCATCGTTCCCATCGCATCAGGGAGGTTGCGGCAGCTACAGTTCGCGACCGCAACAAAGGATACAGCCCTAGGTGCTATGGCTGTGGGGAAAAAGGCCATCTTCGAATCAGCTGCCCTAAGCGAACCGTGGAAAGGAGAGTTGATCGATCTCGAGAGGGTAGTGCAGCTAACGACACTGCCTGGCGGCGACAGGATCATCGTTCACCTCACGCTAGGGAGGTTACAGCAGTTACGGTTCGCGACCACAATAAAAGATACAGCCCTAGGTGCTATGGCTGTGGGGAAAGGGGCCATCTTCGGTCCAGCTGCCCTGAGCACACCCTACGAAGGGAAGGTGAACGGTCTCAGAAAGGAAGTGCGGCTAACAGCACCGCCCAGCAGCAGCAGGAATACGGCTTTACTATCAGACACTGCAGCGGGAAATCTCACGGCAACGCAGATGCATTGTCAAGAAGACCTTGTCCTGAAGATTGCAACCATTGTAGTAGGCAAGAGAGTAAGGAGGTGGTATCCGTGAGGATGCTCAGGACAGACCACCTCAGCAACGGGTGGAAGGACAACCTACGACATGCACAGCAGGAAGATCCGGACATCAAGCCGATTCTGGGATGGATGAAGCCCGTGCTACCAAGCCTAAGTGGAGGGACGTCTCAGCGATGAGTTCAACCACGAAAAGCTATTGGGCCCAATGGGACAGCTTGCTGATTCAGGATGGATTCCTGTGCCGTAAATGGGACAATGGTCGAAGAGACAGCTGTCGTTTGCAAATGGTTGTCCCTAAAGCTAAAGTGCCGAATGTTCTACAATTGTGCCATAATGGTCGTTCAAGAGTCCATCTGGGAGTTAAACGAACTCTACTGAAGGTCCGAGGACAGTTTTACTGGGTCCATTATCGTGACGATGTCGAGGATTGGTGTCGTACATGTACAAGTTGTGCGGCCGTGCGGGGACCTCGGACACGTAGTAGAGGAGCACCGAAATTGTACAATGTTGGTGCACCACGGGATAGGACAGCCCTTGACATTGCGGAGCCGTTACAGAAAGGCGCAAGAGGGACTCCTAAGATCGTCCATGTGAATCGCTTGGCGCGTTATTATGGGGCCGATAATGCTCGGGACGAGCATGTCTTAGGAGGGGGCAGTGTTACGCGCTCAAGTCGACGATACACTAGCGCCATCTAGTGTCAGGAACGAGAGCGAGGGGAGCATTGAGAAAATGACATCACAAATCACTCAACCGACAGCGCCTAGTCGAAACTCGAACGCTCGGTACCTTGCGCGTGTTTACTTGAACATTCTGGATATTTCTTTGCTAATTTAAATAAGTAGGCGCTGCAAGATGCGATCGGAGTAGTGTTGATTTGGCGAAACAAGCGAAGCTTCGGAGCGGAATAAAGTGAATTAGTGTGTTTAATTATTAGTGTTTTTAACTTTAATTTGTGTAAAGTAAATTAAAGTGTTAATTTAGGTAATTTTATCGGCAATTTTTATTGTCACGAACCTCAAGCTCGTAACAGTAATGTTTTGATAGCAGGTCCCCATATTACGTGAAAAAGCTATTGTTGTTTTTGTTTATTTTTCGTTAAACAAAACGCGAACACAGCCGACGACTGAACTGAACTAACCGCGTGTACAATGTAATATTTAAAACTGTATATTATAACAGTTTAAAACAACAGTTAGAAAAATATATTACAACAACATAACGAATTAGAAAAATATAACAGTTTCGCCCATCTTTAGTCACCCCTGTTGGCATCGAGCCGAGCTAGGGAGCAGACGGCGGGGCCGGGCTGCACCCGGCCCGCCGCTAGGGCGCGCTACTAGCTAGGCACGCGGCGCCTGCGCCGATGACGTTCTCCGGTCGCATTATAGGGGTCGCGAGAGTTTTTGCGCGAAGCCGGGTTGTTCATATATTGAAAGTCTCCTTGTTTTGTCTTAGACTTATGTTAATAGAGCGTGCCATTTGAACTTAAAGACAATTAATTGGACAATAAATAATAAGTGACAAATCTTGCTGTGGAGCGTGGAACTGAGTAGTTGCGCGTCTTGTTAATATAATTCCGTACGGCCGCCCTGACGTATGTACTGCGCGAACCTGAGTTTTTTGCGACGCGGTCCGGTGATACAGTATTTTTCACAAATAGTGAGTTCGTTATAACGCGGGTTCGGTTAAATCTGGTTGAATTTGATTGGATTAACCTAAGTAACTTGAATTAATATCAAAGAAAAAGAAATACTGCATAAATAAAATAAATAAATAATTATAATTGCATAAGTTGATACAAAATGCTATGCAATAGCTTTACCGCGGCAGTCCCCGAGTGCCACACGTCTTTTTTATATTGTAATTTTTTTTATTATTATTGTCATTTAATTTTGTCGGTACAAAAAAACGAATGCTTGGAAAAACAAAACGTTTGACATGTTTAAACCCATGTAAATTTAAATGTTCACTTTTTAAGTTTTTACTCGTGGATTATATGCCCACACGTGATTTTTTACTTAGAAAGATTATACATACATTCATTGCTGTCAACTCAACTAATTTACTCTGAAATCAAAACCGTTTTGTCGGCGAGTTAAGTTTTCTCTATATAACTTTCCATAAATTACGTAAATTTCAAATTTTCTGAATATGACTGAAGTAGACAGGAAAAAACCGTTCTCGAGTTTGGAAAAGGATTTATTTTTAAATATCATACAGAAATATGATACTATCCTAACCTGTAAGCAAACAAATGCCACGAGTGTTTTAAAAAAGAAGCAGTCATGGAAGAAAATAGCGGAGGAATTTAATGAATCCTCTATTGTTACTCAAAAGGTAATATAATGGGTTTTGTATACTTTTATTATTTACAGATATGTAGAGTTTCATTTGTGTGTCATGATCTTTTTCTATGAGCCGATTTTGTATTAGGCAGTTATCTAATTTCCATACGTTTCATTGCTTCAGGCATCTACAAAACAATTAATAAAGCTATGGTATAACATGAAGGCAAAAGCAAGAGAGTCAAAAACGAAAGAAAATATTCGCCACTTAACAGGAGGTGGGCCATCTGTTATGGATCCATGGATCCCATCGATTTCAAAGTCATGGATATAGATAAAAATATCGTTACTAACATTACTGTGGATATCGATAGTGATATTGATGGTAAGAGTTATCCATTGTAAATAACTAACTAAGCCCGGCATGTATAACGGTGCCTCCTTACTATCAGTACGTATGGGCATTTATCATTATATTTTGTGACTTTTTTCTGTTTTTCAGAGAATATAGTTTTATTAGGCGATAGCATCAATGAAGCCCTCCTTTCTGCCAAGGAGGGTCGCGTCCGTTTACAGCTTAAAGATCTCTCGTCAGATCGGTAAGCCAATCCCAAAATAGTGGTAAAGTTCCACATAACCACGCAGCCGGCTGCGTGGTATGCTATGAAAATTCTCCACCTCTCTCCCCCGTTACCGGAGGGTAGCCTTTATTTGCTTCGGGCGCAAAAAATGCATTATAGAACTGATCCTAGTCACGTAATCAATTAGTTAAGTAAGTCAATATTGCACTGAACTAGTTTTAATACACAATTGTAATGTAATAGTTATTAAATGTCATCGAGACATATTTCGTTGTTTTTTTTTTTTATAAAAAAGCTTCAGTACCTCTCCCAAAACTTAACTACCTACGCTACGCTACGGTGGTAACAGATAGATAAATAATCAAAAAGCTAATCTCACCCAGTAATTGCAGTTAATCGTGTTCTTTGGAGTAAATTTATTATTTTATCTTCAAAATAATGTTAGGAGTGTCTTCTAAGTTTAAAAGAAAAATATCTAGTTAAAATAGATTGTTTCAAGATGAGTGGGAAACGGATTATTTTGTCGTGCCAAACAAAAACAATATAGCTACTTGTTTGATATGTCATGACAAATATTATATTAAAAAAATACAACATTTCGCGTGATTTTACCACAAAACATAAATCTTCCGATGAAATGTTTCCTCCAGGATCTTCCTTGAGAAATGAGAAATAGAGTTTTTTTAAGAGATCACTGCATCAAAAACAAAATGTAATGTCTGTAGCATTATAACAAGACTCCGTGGTAACTAAGGCATCATATGAAATTTGTTACATTGCTTATCCCAGCGGACAGTCGATAACGAGAGTATCTCAAGTTATTTAGGTGTTTAAGTGAACAAAATAACTTGGAGGTTTACATCAACATGGTGCATTTGATTTGTCGTTACCACTAATAGTTCACGTGCGCAGACACTTATTACACTAAGTTGCACCAATTTTACGTATCAAATTAAATTAACAACGAAATAGGAACAACAATCCACCGGCGGTCAAGTTACCGCCAAAGCTCAAAATTCGTGTTTTTTTTTTCTACAGTAATGGACTCTTATGCTTCGGTCATATACCTTGCCTAAATTACCGTGTGCACTAGTTTACCTAGATATGACAATGAACTATAGTACGGCCGACTAGCAGCGATACGAAAGGTCATTTACCTTGAAAACGACTGTAGAGTTGACAATCTATTATCTATCTCTTTCCATCTTGTGTATTTGTCGTAATGTCTCGTTTTCCCGGCAAAAACATGTTAGGGTCAAGACGATATCGCCAACATTCGGGAGGCCATTTTAATAATTGTTGTTTATTTGATTTTTGTTATTTTGTTTTGTTGGTAATTGTTTTTTTATTAAGAGCGGTTAATGATGGAGCCACAACCAAGTACGTCGAGAGATAAATCAACAGATTTTACTTCTCCGTAAAAGAAACATCCAAAGGTATGTATAGTAATAGGATACGTGGTATATAATACGTGGTAGAGCCATGCTGCAGTTATATTAGTAGTATAGTTGTAGCACGAACAGGTCAGCTCGACCGGGGAAGGACCACGCTCTCACAGAATACCAGCGTAAAATAGTAGCTTAATGCTGCTGTGTTTCGTATGGTGAGTGTAGAGAACCGGAGACCCTTTTTACTGGAAACGAGGCATTCCATCTTAGTCCTCTCGGGTGACAACGCATCTGCATTTTGATTCGTAATTGAGGAAAGATGTAGATGTCTATGAGCCACAGCAACCACTTACCATCAGGTGGACTGAATGCTCGTTCGTCACCCTATCCTATAAAAAAAGGATATACAATATGTAACGTAATTAACGCACACCCTCAGACACCCCAATTAGTATATTATGTTGTAATAATAATACATACACTGAATTTTTAGTTAAACATTTTTATGCACTGATTATTTATCAAATTAGTTACACTAATGCCGGAAGAATGTTGTGGTCACAGTACAAATCCACGAACGCATAGAATTTAACGTGCTAGAAATAAAGTTCATTTTTCTTTATTTTTATTGAATGACAGAATTAGTAATAATACAAATAAAACTGCACTCTTAAAAGTCTTATTACCTTAAGTTACGGTCCATTTCAGTTTGTTTTGACTGTTCAGATTTAGTGTGACTGTAATTTACGTAGTTTTAATTATATTTGGGATAAAAAATTACCTATATTAAAAATGATAGGAATGGATTCAGTAAACGATTCTGAACAAACTACTTTCTCAAAGTGCGTTAATTACGTTATATATTGTATATGAATGTTGATTAGTAGTTTTAATTAAAACTTCTTGGTTCGGAGTGTACATTAAAGTTATCTAAAGCCGACCATCCTGCGGTGTGAGTGCTCGCGTTTTGCACAAACTTGTGCCTGAAGTCGAATCTTTGCTGAACAGAGTCTCGGATTTGGGGCGACTATATCTAGTCCAGTTTAACCCTCAGAAGACACAAGTTTGCGCGTTAACCGCTAAAAAGAACCCCTTTGTCGTATCTCTTCAGTTTCAAGGCACTCTCCTTGTTGCCTCAGCGAGCATACGAATCCTCGGCGTCGACATATCGAGTGATGTGCAGTTTCGTGGTCACTTAGAAGAGAAGGCCAAATTGGCCTCCAAAAAACTTGGCGTGCTCAGCAGAGCGGGACAGTATTTCATGCCAGCACACCGCCTGCAACTTTATAAGGCGCAGGTTCGGCCGCACATGGAATACTGTTCCCATCTCTGGGCTGGGCTCCCCAGTGCCAGCTCTTTCCACTTGACCGCATCCAGCGCAGAGCGGCTCGAATCGTCGACGACCCGAGTGCTTTCCGATCGGCTCGATTCACTGGCGCTGCGAAGAGATGTTGCATCTCTTTGCATTTTCTTTCGCATATACCATGGGGAGTGCTCTGAGGAATTGTTCGGATTAATCCCAGCCACCAAATTTCGTGAACGCACTACGCGGCAAACGTCCCGATACCATCCACACCATCTGGATGCTTGGCGGTCCACCACTGTACGTTTCACAAGGAGTTTTCTTCCGCGTACGACCTCTCTGTGGAATAGTTTACCACCGGCGATATTTCCGGACCGATACGACTTAGGGACCTTCAAGAAAAGAGCTTACTCCTTTCTAAAGGGCCGGCAACGCACCTGCAATTCCCTGGTGTTGCGGTTGATCATGGGCCGCGGTAGTCACTTAACATCAGGTGAGCCGCATGCTTGTTTGCCCCCTCTTCTATATAAAAAAAGTTATTTAAAAACAAACAGCAACTGTTATTAAAAATTTTATTAATTTATTAAAGATAGATGCATGTAAGTAAAGTATGTATATCATTTTAATTTTATTGTGAATTAAAAAAATAACGTTATTAATACCTACAAATATGTTAAAGAAATTTGGCCTAATGATAAATACCCATACAGAAAAGAGATGGCGCGGAAAGCATTTATTTAATTTAAATCTACATTATACAATAATTCAAACTATAACAAAATTTATAAAAAGTCAATTTTTTTGGTTTGCTGGACATTTTAAAACTATATTGTCCACTTAAATATATAATCTTACTATCAAAAAGTTACGCACCCCTGCTATTCCTAATAACTTTGCATCATGCTTTGTTTTATTTACATTTGGTATTGCTTCTCGTTGGCCGTAGTATAGGCGGATAAAAAGTCATTTTTCAAGATGGAGGTTAAACCTGCGGCAGTGCTGTACTTTATGAGTGTCAGTTACTATTACATGAATATTTTACATTTTAACAAAGCTAAACAAAGAAACACAGCTAAGAAAATAAGAAGTGGATGATGCGTTTCCGTTGAGCTCATCTCTCACACTGAATAAACTGTAGTGTAGCCACTTGACGCAAAAATTACCGCGGTAATCGTCTTCGATATTCAAAAAAGACCGCCAACAAAGCTGTCGCCTACCGTCATATGCATTATTGATAGATATTGTAAAATTGTGGCCATTAATCGTGAGTACACCTAGGTGTTGCTTCAATTATCGATATATCAGTAGTGTGGCCCTAGCATGACATGAGAAAAATTTTTCCTCCTAGTTTATTGTCATATCTTTCTAAACTCTAGTGTAAGCAAACACTACCTCACGAGATAATTTAAGCAGTAATTTAATGTCATAATTATGGTGATATACGATCGGTAGACGGTAAGCTAGTGTGGCCGTAGCTTTTTGCCATATTGATTGACATTGTAAAATTATGGCGTTGATCGTGACTACACCTAGGAGTTGGCCATAATTATTGCCATATCACGGTAGTGTGGCCGTAACTTTACTGTTGTAATTTTGCTAGTGACAACAATCTACAATTTCATAACTTACCGTCTTAATTGAAATTAATCGTGTTAGGCCATCTAGCGTCTATTTTACGTACCACCATCATAAGAGTCAATCAATTTTGGTTCGATAAAATAACTATATATTGAATGAAGTAGATGGCGCTATTATAACACAATTTTACTCGAAACGAATACTTGCCGAGTTTAATTTTTTAAAGCTTTCACTTCAAATGGGTGTGAACTGCACACGATTTTATTGCGATTAGCTCGCTGACCTGATCACGCAGTCGGGCTCGCTGGGAGCAGCGTACAGCGAATCGTGCGATAGGTCAAGAGACTCGGTTCGCGACTGGGCGCATGACACGTCACCCGCATACTTATATGATATACTACACGACTGGTCGCACGACACTTCACCCGCATACTAATATGATACACTATATAATTGATTTATAGTAGTGTCAACTACGCAATTATTCTTGTAATTAGCGTACTGACCTGGTCACGCAGGTCAGGCTCGCTGGCAGCGGCGGGCAGCGGGTCATGCGACAGGTCGCGAGACGTGGCGCGCGACTTGTCGCACGACACGTCGCCAGCGCTCGCACTTAGCGACCGTCGCACGTCCGCGTCGCCTCCATCAGCACGGGTTCGCTCTCTACCCGACAGCATACTTCGCGTCTTCGACAGGATGTTCAGCGGCTTCATCGATTTTCGCAACTGGAAGATCGAGGAATCATTGGAAGACTTTTCAAGGAAAAGTAACGAAAAATAATTTAATTATTATAAGCTTTTTAGTTTACGGTTGGAATGGAACAGAATAAAATACTGTGCGGGAACAGGAAGTCTTCTGATACTAACTCTACTAAAGAACTAAAGAAATGAATTGTTTATTTCTTCAGGAAATTAAATATTTATTCTTGAACTACAATATGTAACAGACTTTGTTAAATGTATTTAAGATAGTTGAAGCGTTGAGGACTGTGGTTAATTTCGAATTGTATGTAATGGTCCGACGTTAGTTGGGTGTGGCACTTTTCCATTCGGCTGACAGAGGTCGCTGCTTCTTTCTTCAGAATTGATGATGACCATATCAAATTGTATATCCAAGCTTCTATTCTACTGAGTCTACTGATGGGTCGACAAGTCGTAAAACTATGAAGCTCGCCACGAATACAGATCTCGATGACGCGAAAAGAACACAAGCGAATAGAAAACTTCCACAGTCTTTTTAAACAGATTTACACTGGGAACACATGGTAAGACTGGTTGGTGTGCATAAGACTGATATCGTCTGGTAATGCCGTCAGCAGTCTCCATGCATGCAAGGTTGACATTTGGAAAAACCATCTACCGTACCTCTCTACACCCTACAGTGGAATGTAACAGACTACATCTCTGAAAGTATTCATTCATTCCAGCCCAAAAATCGAAAGGTGAGCATAGATCTTCCCCATAGATTGCCTCATCTCTACAAAGTATAAAACAAAGTCGCTACCCGTCGTCTGTACCCTTAGATCTTTTAAACTATGCAATGGATTTGGATGCGGCTTTCATCAATAGACAGAATGATTCAAGGGGAAGGTTTATACTATGTAACATCCATATGTTGTCGAGATCCAAAAATCACCCGTGCCAGACCGGGGCGGATCGCTAGTAGTACTTTGCATAGTTGTCATGCTTGGCAGGCATCTTGGTAACCACAGTTCATAATATTTTTGATTGTTGTCAGAAAAATTATGCCTCCCATCTGTGTCAGTTTCCCTCTGTCGCCAATTACGACATACATGGGATAATGTTGTGTAGTAGCTCTACCATCTCTTATTTTTGAGTTTGTGGTACAGAGAACTCGCCACTGCTCCAAAATATTTTTCATTCATTGTCAACTTTTGTACGTAGTAGAGCCATGCTGCAGTTATATTAGTAAAATAGTTGTAGCACGAATGGGTCGACTCGACCGGGGAAGGACCACGCTCTCACAGAAAACCAGCGCAAAATAGTAGCTTAAAGCTGCTGTGTTTCATATGATGAGTGTAGAGAACCGGAGACCCTTTTTACTGGAAACAAAGCATTCCATCTTAGTCCTCACGGTTGACAACGCATCTGCATTTGGATTCGTAATTGAGGATAGATGTAGATGTCTATGAGCCACGGTATCCACTTACCATCAGGTGGACTGTGTGCTCGTTTGTCACCCTATCCTATTAAAAAAAAACTTAATAAAAGGTAAAAAAGGGTGGGGGTGACCGTTTGAGTACATGCTTTAAGTCAAAATTTTAGTAGATCTTATTATGATACAAATCACACTAACCTTGCATTTAACACTCGCTGGATGAACAAACTTCCCATCATCTTTATCCTGCTGAGGCTGGTCATGCATTCTCAACACCAGCATGTCGTCCAGAGAAGCCTGGAGATGTTTCAGACGCTGTGGACGCGCCTCTTCGTGACTACGAGAAGAATACACCGAGACCGAATCAGCACTGGCCTTACTGTTTCCAGATATAACAGTCACATTCTCCACTGACTCATTTGATTGGTAATCAGGTGGATGCCTCGACTGTTCTTCATAGATTTCCACAGAATTAAACGCCTCTGACACACGATCAATGTCATCCATCTCTGTGTGTGGTACAAGCTCATAATGCCCTTCATTCTCAGTGTATACTTGATCATATACCACGCCATGGAAACTTCGAGACCCAGATGGAAGGTTCCCATACAAATTGTTATAGTTATAGTTGTCTTCGTCGTTACGCTGGCTCACGTGTCGTGGCAATTCGTTGGCGTTCAGTATGACGTCATCCATGTTTAACGGACGCCCTTGACCAGCGAAGCCATCGACCACGGGTGTGGTGTTTGATAGAAAAGAGCCGTCGGTTTCAAAGCTGCTACACCCAACTAAGCCCATGGGCCGGCGTGGGATCTCTTGCCTGAACCTCGTCGGCGGTGGCTGTTGACCCGCAAACTCTACAACGAGTATTCTATCAGCAATGTTGCGGCAATCATTATGGAAACCAATGCCAGAGTCGCTGTTGCTAGAAGTAGTGGTAATTTCACTATGGTTGCTGGGCTGGGGTGAGTTCGCAATGAACTCTGGTACATCGATTCTCGCATCTTCATTTCTACAGGGTCTTCTATCGCGCTGTGCTCTGAAAACTGGTCTACTACACCTCGAAAAGTTTCCCAAAGCTGGACTGTCTCCCTTCACTGCCAACTTTGATATCGGTTGTAAATTTGGACTTACACAATCATCGGGCGGTAAAGAATACATCCCTCTTATAACACCAACCACATACTCAGCTGATGGTGGAAACTCCAAGCATCTTTCTGCAACTGGGTCTCTTGTGCAAGCAATTTGGAAGTCTCTCGCTCTCGTAACATGAGCTTCGTGTTCTGCCATTCGTGAATCGACGGCGAAGACATGGCAACTATGGGATGCTTCGGCTTCGACACCGGAGGATTCAGCAGCCGTCACAAGGCCAAAGAATCGTCTATCAGCTTCAGAACCACAGCCTGCGTAGACGATACGCTCCCGAGGATACTGTGCAAGAACCTGTCCCGTGGGACGCCGAAGAAGCAGCGCATTTGGGAGTACAGACAACAGTACTGGCGTGGATGTGCGCCTTTCCTGTCTTAGTTTCTTGACTGCGTTCCGCACGTTATTTGGTGCGGCGGCAGCATTAGCTTGTGGCGTTTCTATTGTGCCCAAATAGCCTACAACAGCACGGCATTCTAACCGTGCTGCGTGGCTTGGCGTTAACTGAGCCCTGCTCAGGTTTTGAAGAATTTCACTAACACCAAATGCACTTGGAGCTGCGTGGCAACCTGGAATAAATAATAATATTGTGTGAAAAACCAAGAATTATTATTATTACCTTCAATAATCTGCCTTACTTTTATATAGAAGAGGGGTAAACATAGAAAAACACGAGCCACCGGCGGATCGGAAGTGAGTAAGCCACACGCAGGCGGTCCTCGCGTATCCAATAAAACTAGTTGCAGCCGCACTGCTTACTAGACTAAATCTAGTTGCGCTGCTGAATCGACGTCCTACATAAATGCCGATTTTTAAACTATTTACTTCTTTTTGAACTTAAAATAAAAATTACAATAATAACGGTAGTATTGTTTCAGATTTGTTTACCAACCCAGGCCACGAGGGCGAGTTGTCATCGATACAATTATAATTAATATTTGTGTGAAAATGTTAGTTTATTATTTTCTTACAATAATTTATGTGTACGTGCGCGTACATGAGTGCATGCGCATGCGCTCGTGTTCGTCCGCCATGAGTGTCAGTATTCTGATGGAGAAGTCTTTCACCTTGCTAGGATCTATTGCTATGGCCACTTGGATGATACCCATGCATTCAGCCTGGAAGACTGTGTTATGGGCACCCAGCGGTGTGCATATGTGGATATTAAGGTCTTCAGAGAAAGCCCCAGACCCCACACCTTCATTTGTCTTGGAACCATCCGTGAACTTTGAACTCTTTTGGTCCCAATCCTTCCAGCTGGTCAGTTTCCTTCAATTGTATCCTGTACTTCTTATCAAATACAAATTGTTTTGGGATCCTATCATACTTGGCTTGTAAGATAAGAATTTTTGAGTAAATTCTATCGATTATACCTGTATGGGGGACTCTACTCTTACTAAAAAGATTTAGGGTCTTAAGTCTAATGACAGCTCAAGTTGCTTCTTGTTGTATATGTAGATGAAGCAGTGTTAGTGTAGTTCTTATGCAGCCCGTGGCAGCTATACAAGCTAATCTCTGGTAACGCTGAAGCTTAGAATTGAGCTGAAGTATAGTGGTGGCTTCATTAGTTTGGTGGTTTGGTCCACCATACCAGAGAGCCGTATGTGATCATGGGCCAAATTAATAATAATAATAATAAAATATTTATTCATTGACCAAAATTAATAAAATATTTAAAAGTTAAACTAATACAAAAATAATATTTTTAGAAGGACAATGAAAGGGTTCTGACTCAGCATGTGTTGCAGAGAATCTACAACGCTGTTATTCTGTCAGCACCCATATACCTACTTAGTGAGCTAAAGTATAACAGTACGCGTACATCACCTATTATATTACAAGTAGCTTTTAGTGTTAAATTATTTATTTATTCATTCAGCCAGTACAAGAACTATATAATTAACCAGTACAAGTTATCATAATATTTCTATTAATAATTTGATAATTAATATACATGTACAAGAGATAAAACATAATATAAACAAAATATAAACGTAATATAAACAAAAACATGAAAAAAAAATAGTATTAAAAGTAAGAGCTACAGTAGTGTTTTATTTATTCAGACTAATTATAATAATTATGCTAGAACAACGTAATGGTTATTAAAAAGAATATTGGTAGTAAATGTAAGTTACATAATTGCATATATTCAGCCCCTTCCGAATTTTTTTTATATTTATGACATTTTCTGCGTCCTTAATAAATACTCTTTGTATTTTCTCTTAAAACTGTTCTTATTTGTATTATTATACTGTGGATATATAATTATACTGTGGATATATATATTACAGTTATATATATATCCACAGTATAATTTTTGGCGTCAAACCCCATCGTTTGCCAATCATGTTTCTGCATTGCCAGAAAGTTAAACTAGCTTTATTGATTTTGTTTTCTATGTGTTTATTCCAGTTAAGTTTACTGTCCAAGGTAAAACCTAAGTATTTTACCTCGGAGGACAGCTGGAGTTTTGTGCTGAAAAGACTTGGGAGATGATAGTTATTCAGCATTAGTTTTTGTGTGAACATTACTGGAACCGTTTTGTTTGGATTAACAGTTAGAACATATTCCCTGCACCATCTCTCCACAATACAGAGAGCCGCTTGAGTCAGGTCGCACACAATGCTTGCAGTCTTTCCAGAGACCAGTATTGTCAGATCATCTACATAACCGACTGTGTAGAAATGATTAGCGTTTAATTTGCTGATGAGTTCATTAATGACCATATTCCACAGGAGAGATGAAAGAACCCCACCCTGCGGGCATCCTTTCATGATCTGAATTATCTGAGATTCACCAGCAATCTTCATTGTTCGTGTACTGAGCATGTTTACTATCCAGTCAATCAGTCCCGGTTAAACATTATGTCTACTTAGGGCACCTTTTATGCTGGAGAAGTTTGTTCTGTCAAAAGCACCTTCTATGTCTATGAAGGAGCCTAGACATATTGCTTTGTTTTGGATGGCCTCTTCAATCTTTGTTATTACATGGTGAAGTGCCAATTCTGTCGATTTACCTAAGCTATAGGCGTGCTGTTTTTCATGTAGCGGTAAGTTAATTAGCGTCGACCCTTTCAACTCCCGTTCACGCATCCTCTCCATCGTCTTTAGGAGAAAAGATGTGAGGCTAATGGGTCTGTAGGATTTATGGTCTGTATAGTCGTTCTTATCTGGTTTGGGTATGAACGTGACTTTCACTTCCCTCCATCCCCTAGGAACATATTTAAGAACCAGACATGCTCTCATTATGGCAACAAGTCTGACTATTAGGGCTTTACCCCCCCCCCACTGTAGAAGTGCCGGGAATAAGCCGTCAGGTCCTGCTGCCTTATAGGGTAGGTAGGATGAATGGCCCAATGGATTTTGTCCATCGTCACCACTCTTTTTGCTAAGTCCCAGTCTTCTTTTGTTGGTGTCAGCGCATCTTCATGCCGGTTCACCCTTTCAACTACACAGCAACCTGGGAAGTGAGTATCAATTAGGATGCGTTGGGTTTCTTTAAAGATATGGTATGAGTTATTATGTTATGACAGTGTGTATTAGTTATTATATGTCATGTCTATTATATTTACAGTAAAACTGAACGCACATTTGTCAGCACCATACGTGTCGCATTTACTCATGGCCTCGTCTATAATTTCTTAAGCTCAACACGCATTTTTGTCGCAATTCTTTTTTGTATTGCCAACAACTCTTGCAGTTTTTTTCCAACTACTGGTGTAAAATGGTACAGTGACATTGATCAGTCTTGGATCGCTATGGAAAATTTTGTTGTAATACCTGCTTATTGGCAGAGCAAGAAAATAAACTTCAAAGAAAAATAAGATTCTGGATTCACAATATTCATTTAAAAAGGCAGTTGCATGGAGAATATTATACTTAAATTAAAGACTTGTTAGATGATGATAAACGGTTTTTCAGATATTTGCATTTAACATACAAGAAATTTCAAGAATTGCTACATATACTAAAACCATATCTGTTTTTGGAAAACTCAAGAAGCCAATTGAACCAGAGGAAAGACTTGTATGTTTGAGGTATTTTTCAACGATAATTAAGCAATTAGGTATAAGTGTTTTTAAATGAAATTTTTTTTATTCTTTAATAAAAACAAATAAAGTTCCTATGACTTTTTATGATAAGATTAATATTTTCGGAGTAACAAATTTTTAAAGGTTTAAAAATCCCAAATTCGAATACTTTTGACTCATTAAAGATATACGAAAGAAAAATATATATATATATATATATATATATATATATATATATATATATATATATATATATATGGATATATATTTATGTATACGTGTCCCAAAATTCAACGATAAGCCAACACCAGAGGATAGACCTGCCCCGGACTAATCGGAGAAAAAAAGAAAAAAATATATATCCTAATTATATTTTGAGTTATATAAAAAAAATTAAATTCTTCAGAAATTGAGACCGTTTATGATATTTTTCACTACCATGACCACAATTTTTTTAATATTGGTTTCTTTTTGTTTTATAGGCAACCTGAGTAGCACTGCTATCTACCACAATTCTTAAAAAATCCAGAATAACTCTTGTTTTATCACGAAAATTAATGAAACTTTTTTATTCCCTAAATTTTTGAAGACTTTTACTTTTAACCAACTTTAACTTGTCGTGGTGTAAAAAAAAGTATGAACACTAGTATGACAAGTTTTTTTAAAAATTGACGCAACTAACCAACATTCCAAAATGGTATAACTCTCTAGAGAGTTTCCTAGAGTATTGAAATTAATTTAAAGGGGGCCAAAGCTATTCTTAGAGTCGTTTACTCTCCTCCCACTATTAATTATTTCTCCACTTTGGAATCTATCCTAGATAACATCTGCTCTGAGTACAAACATCAAGTTATTGTGGGTGATTTCAACACAGACCTGTTAAAAAACTCCTAATATTCTCAAAAGTTACGATCCATCATAAACTCGGTCAAGCTCTCCATTCTCCACCTTAAAGCTACTCACTCTAATTTTTCTACCGCGGATTCTTGGATCGAATATTACATCTACTAATAAAGTTGCGAGTTATGGTCAGTTCCCAGCTCCTGGTTTTTCGAACCATGACTTGTTATTTCTCTCATATAAATTAAAACCACCTAAACATATCCCTCATACAATAAAGTTACGTAGCTATGCTCGATTAAATAGAGATAGCTTAATTAATGATGTGTCCGCCATTGATTGGTCTCCAGTGCTAAATACTGACTCAATTAATGATATGGTTATGTAGTTTAATTCTAAATTATTGAATATTTTCAATACACATGCGCCAGAACGCGAGATTAAAATGAAACGTCCATCAGTACCGTGGATCACTAGCGACGTACGCCTGGCAATGAACAGAAGCAACAAAGCTTTTGTCACATATAAATCGTGCCATACTATACAGAACTGGGAGGCCTTCAAAAAGGTTAGGAATCGCTGCAATCAGGTGGTGAGGTCTGCTAAACGCCGATATTTTCATGACTTCCTAATTAATTCTTCGCAATCGGAGACATGGAAGTTCATTCACTCTCATGGTCTCAGTAAAACTAAAAA